TGCGTTATGCAGCAAGTAAGGCGACCCGGCTGATGGCACCACGCGACGACCGATGTGGCATGAGAATATTGTTAGTTGTGTAGGTATGGTTGTACATGAAGCCCGACCACGTCAAGGTGGCAGCTGTAGGTCAGAGCCGGCACTCTCGTTTGCGGTACAACCCAGGCAACTTCATCCAAACATCGATCTATGATAGGTCCGTAGATCTGCTGGAAGTCCAGGGATAGAATGCCCGAGGTCGCGACCACAACTCAACCCGATACATAATACGATGCCACGTGAAAGTGGTGTCCGTGCAGAACGAGAAGTTTTGTAGACCCAAAAGGCAGAAAAAATGAGAGGAGCGAAAAATTCTGGAGACGTCTACAAGTTGTTCCATTTGATTCATTCGACTGCTTTTCGGAAGCAAAACTACCAGGGACCATAATGACTCTGACACACAGCAAAGAACTTTTGGACCACTAGGTGCAGTACTTCGAACAGCACTCAATTGAGAAAAATAATGGTTTAGCTGTAACAAACTTTCGGTACCTAGCTACGATGCCACCGAAGGAAGCACGACGGCTTGGGTACTGCCAGGTTGGCCAAGCCTAGACAGGAGAAGCCGAGAGGCAGAGGTGGGGTTCGAATCACGGACCTTCCGGTCTGTAAATTCGCGCTCTGACCACTGAGCTACCTCGCCCTCCACCATTTCAGTTGACCGCCTGCTATGTCCAGTACGGAATGTCAGCCCTAAACAGAAGGGTGGACTGTAAATATGGAATGTCCGAGTGTATAGCCATGTTTAAACGTCATCGTGCTCCAGGTCGTTTCAACCTCCCACCTGTTCTACTCAAACATTGAGGTCAACTTCTCAGTCAGTGATTGTCTAGCCTACTTGGCTCGATCTAGGAGGAAGAGGCCATTCTATATTGATAAGGTAAGTCGATAATAGTGCCAATTTTTAAAAAGGACATTCGTAATGAATGTAGTACCCACAGGGGTGTCGGTTTGACTCGCGTTGTAACAAGGCTTCTTGCATCAGTGATTCTTCGTCGTCCTACAGCGGCAGGCAAAATTTTGTCCCGTGAGCATCAAGCAGGTTTTCGATCAGGTAGGGACTGCGTCAACCAGCGGAGAGCCTCGAGGTAGACAGCATAATAAGGTGACTAGCGCTTTGAAGTTCTGACATAAATTAACGGGTTACGGCAATCGTTTGGGTCATCATCATCATCATCATCATCATCATCATCA